AAATTTACTTCACTACATCAGGTGGTGATGCAAGAATTTGTACATCTGTGCAAATATAGTTCTTATTTGCATGATGAAAATACTACAGCGATAAAAATAGGTGGAAGGAAGCTCCCTGTGTGTTTAGGGCAGGGCTGGGTTGGAGACTCTTCCCTCTGTCATTCAGGAGTATGTGTTCTACACACAGAAACAAGAGAAAACAAACAGTTCCCGATCCAGAGAGGTGACAAAACACCACTGTGAATTAAACAACTGGCCCTTCTATCCTCTGTAGACAAAAGGAAAGTCAGGCTGAAAACTCCCACAAAAATTACAGTAATAGCGTGTTCTACATGAAAATAATAACACCCAGAAATACATGAAATTTTAGCTGATCTTCACAATAAGATGTTTAAAAAGTTCACAATATTAGCATATATAGGACAGTAAATCACATAAGCCTAGTTATCCTAACAGTTTAAAAGGAGTTTTAGAACCAATATTTTAAATTAATAAGTCCGCTATCTTAATATTCTCCTTTCTGAGTTCAGGAGACCAAAATTCATCACATGCACTCACCAACACAGCCAGACTCCATTTCTATCTCATTATCTTGTCTTACTTAACTTCACATAACTTTTTATAATCTGAAATTATCTTACATATGTGGTTATGTATAAGATACTTACATATATATGATAATAAGATAATGACCCACTCATTAGGACTTTAACTTCATTACAACAGAAATCTTATTTGTCCTTATTTATCACTGCAACTTTAGTACATTGAGGGGGGCAGAAAAAACTGTGGCTGAATAAAAGAAACAAAAGTGGCATAGCTACTAATTTTTTCTATACCAATAAAATAATAATGGAAGACCACAGCACTTATATTTTTCATAACAATATAATATTTAATGACAAACAGCATGTTCTACATCTAATATAGAAAGAAAAAGGTTACTTCATATTTGTACTATTTTTAAATATGAAGAAAGGTATCAACAAATAAGTAATAATATATTTGATACTTATATGACTTACTTGGTTATAACAGCTACAATAATATTGAGACTGAATACCTTGTCTTTCTATGCTAATAATCATGGTATGTTTAAAGGAAAATTAAAGACTGTTCAGAATAATATTATTTACTGGGATTTCAGAAGAGGTCTTTTAATTGGTGAGAAAATTATATGTTTATGTACTATAAAATTTGGGATAGAGCCCTAGATTCTAGATTCTTTAAAATTCTATAGTCTATAAGAAAAAATTTAAAACTTGATTTCCAAAATTTTCAAATGTTTTCAAGAGAACTACATCAAAGTTTTCTGTTGTATCAAGTTGTATCATCTTTTATCAAATGGCTTTGATTAAACCTTTTAAAATAGTCACAGATAATACATAGTATTTTTTAAGATGTATTAAAGTATTTATTTAATATTGTTTATGTAAGTCAATGTCAGCCAGGATATCCTTTGAAGAATACTCTTCTGGAAAATGACGGAATGTATGGCACAAATGGACCTCAGCATATAGAGGTTTTGGAAACTCCTATCAAGTGAGAGCCTGACATTTATTTGAGACTCATCCATGATGATAATTTTCAGACCATGTTGGGGGAAGGATAGTATGGAAAATGTTCTATAAAATAAACCAGTAGGTCAAAGAAGATGAGCTTAATTAGCAAAGGATGCAACAGAAAACTTTTCTTAAATTTATTTTAAAATAAAAAATATTCAATTTATTTTAATAATTAAGAATAGAAAAGTAACAACCTTAACACAATATAAACAAACTATTAGCCATAAATGATGGTTAAAAATAAAACAGCTTGACAGAATTCAGAAACAGATTCTAGCATATTAAAAATTATATGTCAAATATATGAATAACTGAGAAAGAATTATAAATAAATGGAGAAAATAGTATTACAAACAACTTAAACTAATAAAATTGAAGTGGAATAAGAAATTATCAAAGGAATGATTTTCTAAACTTAAATATGATTAGAAAAAATCACAAAAGCAAAGATTATAATCAAATATTACATAAAAAGGAAGCAATTTATAATATGGAATCTAGAAAGATGGTACTGATGAACCTATCTGCAAGGCACATGGAGACGCAGCCAAAGACTTATGGACACAGAGGGGAAAGGAGAGGGCTGGAAGAATTGAGAGACAAGCACTGAAACATATGCATTACCATATGTAAAATTATTAGGTTGGTGCAAAAGTAATTCTGGTTTTGCATTGTTGAACTTTACCACTTGAGACAGTAATACATGGTTATGTTTAAAAAAAGCAAAAAAAAAAATTTAAAATGCAAATACTGATACATAATGAATACATAAATCTATGAGAAAAATAAGACAACACCACTCACAAAGGAAGAAATATAAATGCACTGTAGACATTTGGAAAAAAGTCCAGTTTCAGAAGTATTCACAGAAATGCAAGCTGAGATAATAAAATACAACTTTTTAATCTATTAAGTTAACAAGAACCTTACAAAATGAGAAATATCAAACCAAGGCACATTCATAAACTAAATATTAAAAGTTGGTGAAAAGTAGAAAAATATTTCTGGAAATCAGTTTGGTAGCACGCACCAAGAGTCTTAAAACTATTTAACCTTTTTTCTTCCATATTCTAATAATTACAAATACTTTTCAATTACTTATGCATTGCTGCTGCTGTTGCTGCTGCTGCTAAGTCGCTTCAGTCATGTTTGACTCTGCGCGACCCATAAACAGCAGCCCACCAGGCTCCGCTGTCCCTGGAATTCTCCAGGCAAGAACACTGGAGTGGGTTGCCATTTCCTTCTCCAATGCATGGAAGTGAAAAGTGAAAGTGAAGTCATTTATGCATTAAGTATGCATAAATAACTATCACACAGAAAAGCTGAAAATAAATATTGCTCTATGACCTCATACTGACAAATGTAAAATTTATTGCAAGTTAAATTAGACATGATACATCCAATGGATGTAATAACATAGATATTAAAAATTACAAATTAAAAACCACAATTTACATAAAGTGAAACATTCTGGAAATTCAGGAAGATAATGTGGGACACTAAACTGTCTGTTGGCTAAAATCATGTAACTACTGTTAAAAGACAGAAGCTTTTAAAATGGAAAGAAAAACGGGTCAAGATATCAACAGTGATTCTTTGGATTATAGTCTTTTGATTCAAATACTTTTTAGGTATCTTCTATAACATGAAATTACTATTTTTGAATTGGAAAATAAAATAAACTTAGGGATTCTCTGGCGGCTCATAAAGTAAAGAATCTGGCTGCAATTCAGGAGACCCAGGTTTGATCCCTGGGTCAGGAAGATCCCCTGGAGAAGGGAATGACTACCCATTTATCTTCTACAACATGAAAATACTATTTTCAAATTGGAAAATAAAAAAAACATAGTTTTCTTTAAAAATGGAAGCTTCCTTCAGAAGAAAAAGAAATTTAAATGAAAGTATTATTAAGATTACATTGGATACAAAGTTTCATTAAAATTTCTGCTTCCTGTCAGGTTTCAACTTTCCAGGTCAATTGCTAAGAGGCTTTGTATGACAGACCCTTAGGTAAAATCTCCACACAATACACAATCTGCCATCAAGCAACCCCTGTAGATGACTTGTAAACCAAAACTCAATGAACTAATTAATAATGTTCAAACACCTGAATGTCTGGTAAACCACATAGTAATATATTATTTTAAAAGGTTTCCAGAAGCATCTTTTAAAAATCAATGCTAAATTGTCCTCATCTACATTGTGTTAACACTTGAAGATATTTCTGAGAACACTTTAAGAATTTCAAGTGTACTCTTATAAAAAAGAAATTGTGTTTGGGTGATTTTTTAACCCCTGGAAAAAACATGTGCAATACACTAAGGTACTCAGCTTGCTTTATTAAAGATAAAATATGTCTGTAAAAATGGAAGTGAAGAAGGAAAAAAGGCATCTTGGTTTTTTTACCCCCAGGGAAACTTCAGGTGAATTTGCAGCCCTAAGTTATAAACTATGGTAATTTAGCAGTGAGGCTGATAGATTTTAATTAGGCTTCTACAATCCTTGGTGGCTTGGAGGTGGAAGAGCCAGGATTTTGAGGGGGCAAAAATATAACTATATTTTACCTCTTTTGCTTCTAAGCTAGTGATACCTTTTAAATTTAGAAAATACACATATATGTTTCTGCAAAACAATAATTTTTGTACTTTTTCTTCTCAGTTTTTTCTAACTTTTTATTAAAGAAAATTTCAAAACAGAGGATTTCAAAATTTCAAAGTAGAGAAAATGGTACAGTGAACATAGCCTACCCTCCAAGTACCCATCACTCAACTTTACTAAGTATTATTTGTAGTCAATCTTGTGTCATGTTACATTATCCCTATTCCAGTCATGCAAGGCTATTTTGAGTGAAATCCAAGACACTACATCTTTTCATCTATAAAACTTCACCATGAGTCTCTAAAAGACGCTTTAAAACATAGTCACAACAATGTTGTAATAATGTCTACAAGAAAAAACTAAAGCATTCAAATTTTTCAGACTACTTTTTTCTACATTTGGATTGTAGTATACGTGAGTTCCATTTAAAACATCTGGTTGATACATCTCTTAATCAGTAAGTGTCCCCTCCATCATTTTTCCCCATTCTTTAAGAGTATTTTGTTAAAGAAAATAGGTTACTTGTCCTGTAGAATTTCTCACAGTTTCCTATAGTTGTTGATTTAGTCACTGAAATATATTATTGCAGACTGGTTATTTGAGTATAGCCAAAGAAATGCTCATGTAATGGAACTACAGCAAAACCACCCATGACCAATGTCAGAATGAAAACACTACTTGTTAATAATCTGAAGTGGGGAAAGCCCATAAAAGAAAGAATTGCTCTACTGTTTAACTATACAAATAAGTGAACACGTCTTCCTTTTTCACAGAAGTATATTAAACTGCCAATTAATCTTGGTACACAATATAAATAGCAAATTTGACAGTACTTACCAGTCTTCATCTCTAATAAGCGCTTTTTCTTTTGTTGGCGTTCAAGTCTTTCCTTCTCTGCCAATTCTTTGGCTATCCTGGCACGTTTTTCTTTTTCCTCTTCTTCTCTTTTTTTGAAATTCTCCTTCATTGCTTGCTGTCACAAACAAATTTTGGAAAATGATCAGTTTTAACCACAATGATTAAACAAAGAAAATGTAAAATTATTCACCTGTAAAGTTAAATATCTATTAGGTAATGGTTACTTCTTATATTAGTAACACAGTCTTTTAAAAGATTAGCACATTAACCCTTGTTAAATGTGTTATGTATCTAAAAATACAACTGTTACGTTTAAAGCACCTGCATCTTAGTGAAATCAAGTAAGAGAAGGAAGACAGAAACTAAAAATAAAAAAGGACTTAATTTACAAATGAAAACTGTTTTCCTATATATACTTTCAAAAGAGTGCCTAGCAAATGTATTACTCTCCCATACCTCCTTTACTGAGTAAAAGAAAAATAACTAATGAAAAATGATACAGAGCAGAAATATTGTAATGGTTACCTTATATGACAATCTATATTTAACAATTTCTTTCAGACAGATGGAAGTATCAGAAGGATGACTAAAGAAATACATGGCATTTCAAAGTCAGGGCCTCTGACTGTTCATCAAAACCAATCATGACAAGTGAAACATAAGAAGATCTCAACAGATATGCGATTAGTTATTTTCGTACTTTTATAAGCTTTATGCAAATAAAAAAATGCCATTCCTGTGGCATTTGTAGGAATCAGCAGGTAAACATGGATTTTTCAAAGAGACAACAAACTGCATGTCATCACATTACAATCTCCTGTGGAGACTATTCTCAGTACCAATGAAGTCAAAGAGGTTATCTAATTGCTAGTTTATCACTAATAGAATTAAGTAGAAAAGTGTATAATTAAACTTTAACAAGTATGTGCCATGTTATTTTTAGCGAGGCTTTAATCTTGACTATAATACTTTTTTTTTTAACCCAAGATACAGGGCAAGTCCTTCATTAGAAATCAAATAATAAAGTTCAGTATCACTGATCAAAACAATTAAAAGGAAAATTGCAAGGGCAAAAAGGAGAAACAAAAAGAATAGAATAGAGGGAGTATTAACTCATCCATGCAAAGAACATTTACTGAGAGGCTGAGTTGTAAATGCACACATGCGAGCATGCTTGGTTGCTTAGTGGTGTCCAACTCTTTCCGACCCCCTGGACGGCAGCCCTCCAGGCTCCTCTGTCCATGGGATTCTCCAGGCAAGAGTACTGGAGTGGGTTGCCCAGCCCTCCTCCAGGGGATCTTCCTGACCCAGGGATCGAATCCGAGTCTCCTGCGTCTGCAGCACTGCACACAGATTCTTGACCACTGTGTTACCTGGGAAGCCCGAACAGTAAGTGGTACTGTGTTAAAGACTTGGGATACATATTAATAGATCTAAAACAAGTTTACATACTGTGTGATAGGTTGAGTTGGGAGGCAAAGACAGATTATAAACAATTAAAGTCTTTAACAAGTACAGTACTACAAAAAAAGGAGGGACGTGATAGAATTCCTGGAGAGTTATTTTATCTTAGTTGTTCAGACAAGGCTTCTCTCCTGGACTTAATTCAAGCTCAAAGTCAAGGAGCTATCTAGATAATGATCTAGGGAGAGCCAAATGCAAAGGCTTTTGGTGGGCTGGAGAGAGAAGCGGCCAGTATGGTGGTGTTAAATGAGATCAGGAGGTATGCAGGGACCCGATCGTTTAGGATATACGAGAAGAAGATGAGGAGCTACAGTTTCCTTCAAGGGAACTAGGAAACAACAAAAGATTTTCAAGTAAGAGAGTAAAACTAAGTAAGATACAGCCCTAATGAAGCATTTTTGTTCCAAACTACCTTTCCAAAGATATGAACAGTCTTAGAAAATAGAGGCAGTGTTTCCCTCTTAAGCAAATGGATTTGTTTCTTGTCCAGAATGATAAACTGGGGCAACGGTCAAATAGTCTTAATTCTGAAAGAAGATTGGGTTTTCTAAATTCAGGATTTCCCTCCAGTAATACAAAGCACTGTGAGTGCAGGTATTAAACCCAGCCCTTTTCACATTGCCTTGTGGGAATTCTGAGCTCAGAAATCCATAAATCTGTTTACTTTGGCTACTATTTTTGCTATAATAAACTATTCTTTGTTTCTGACCCCACGGTCTTTTGCCTTCTACCAACATTCATGAAATTATGGAAATCATGAAACTTTGGTAAATTCACAGTTCATGATATATATTAACATTAAATACTATTGGTAAGCTATGAAATTCCAGCTCCAAAAATACATATTTCAATATGCAATTCCTTGTTTCCTCAAAATGGAATCTGCATCCTCTATTCTGGCTCAGAATAACTGTTCTTGTTCACTACAATGAAAGGACGAAGAGGCAGAAGCAATACCTGAAAGCTACTTACAGTTTGTTTTCTCTGCTATCTGCCTTCATATTGATGTAGCATATGCTAAGAACCAGATACAGGATGACAGCTGCTATAAAAATCAACGTAGACTAGGAAAGGAGAAGGCAACCCAAAAGTAGAAAATAAGTGTGCTCTTAAAGGCAAGTGTGTATGTCTGTGTGTGTGTGTGTGTGCATGTGCACCCACATAAGTATACAGAAGATGGGAAAGGAAAACTGAATAGTGGTAGAGAAAAGGACAGGCAAATACATGGGCATCAAAGCTTGTTTCTTGTTTGAAGGAGATGAGTAAGAGGAACAGGTAATAGGTAAAAATATCATGTAGCTTTTTTTTTTTGAAACTTATTAAAGTATACAATTTCCAGATGTGAATTTTCTACTTTAATGACTGGATGCAGTTCAATGAGAACATCAAATAGGTAACCTATTACTAGATATAATTGCCACACCTTTTTAGTACTCCTTTGGGTAATAAAAATTCAAAATTACTTCTCAGGATCTATAGAAATAATGTTTACCTTGAGAAATAAGATCTGAAGGAGTTCTTAAAGCTATATTGGTCTATGGAAAATGCACTATCGATTTCCATTTAAAATACTATCTCCTTTAAAAGTATCTTTTTCTGACATTAGAAGAATTTTAGCTGGAAAAATACCAACAGACAGCACAGAAATAGGTATTTAGTCTGAAAATACTATCTCAGTTCAAGTGGTAATTTGGGGGTTTTTTTAATGCTAAATTTTGAGAAGTAAAAGTAGCCTAAAACAGAAAAATTGGTTCTAAAACCACATTATTCTAGATATAATTGGCTACTCATTTCTTCAATTCCAAAATCTGAAGCCAGGAAGGAAGTTGAGGGTGAGTCATATACAAAGGTAAGAGCTTCTCAGGTGGTACAGTGGTAAAGAAGCCGCCTGCCAATGCAGGAGACGCAAGAAAGGTGGGTTTGATCCCTGGATCAGGAAGATCCCTGGAGTAGGAAATGTCAGCCCACTCCAGTGTCCTTAACTGAAAAACCCTATGAACAGAGGAGCCTGGCAGGCTGCAGTCAATGGGGTCACAGAGTCGGATGTGACTGACTGAGCACACACATGCACATACATGAAGATAGTTAGCTATCCATTTCTTTAAATTGCCCTACGCTTTACCTGGTTTGCTATATAGTCAGTTGGCAAATAAAGTGCACTGCCCCCAGCTTTCATCTATGTAATACCAAAAGAAATCCTTTGTGCCTGCAGAACTTGCAGACACAACCTGGTGCGTGCTTTTGGCTGAAAGGTCTGTGGGCTTACCAGTCTAGGGCAACAAACAACAGAGGGCTGTGAGCCTTCAGACACATCTGGACTATTCATGTCAAAGGCGTAGCCAATAATCCACCTCCGTTCCTAAGGCTCACGTGCTTTTAACAACAACAAAAGACTCTAGAGTACCTATAAAAACACAGTAATAAAAATATACAGGGATACTAAGGGATGTATGTATATATACATGCATGTCAACAAACAGATCCCCTGGAGGAGGGCGTGGCAACCCACTCTGCTATTCTCGCCTGGAAAGTCCCATGGACAAAGGAGCCTGGCGGGCTACAGTCCATGGGGTCACAAAGACCTGGACACAACTAAGAGACTACACATGCACATATGCATGTATGCACATATATGGGTGCATGTATGTGTATTCTGGAAGAAAATAAAATACACCAGTTCACAACTGTTTTCCTATAATTTATGCTCTCTTCATAACTAAATGCAATAACAAGAACTTTGCCACAAGTAGTTTAAACATACATTACAGCATTATACAACATATATTCCCTCAGAGAAACCAAAATAACCCAAAGCCAGTAAAATTAAAAGGATGTGCGTATGTGTAGGAACGTAAAATTTAGAAGTCAGGCACTGTAATCCTCTATAAGATGTGCCTACTATATCATTTTTTTTTGTTTTTTTTGATATTTGCCTTATCCTTTATTGTAAACTACTATGATTTGTTTTCTTCACTCAACATTATATTTCTAAGATTCATCCATATGTTTATATATAAATTGTGCTTCCTTGTCACTGTTTTTAAAATTAAATTGGGTATTATTGTTTACTCTCCTATCAGTGGGATTTGGGTTGTTTCCAATTTTGAGCTACGATGAATCATGCAGTTACAAATATTCTTGTACATTTCCCTGTGTATATATGTAACAGCTTTTTTTTTTTTTTTATAAATGGCAGATCTCATTGATTCTTAGATTTGTTTAAAACTGCTGACATATACTCTTTAAGTGAGAGCATACTCCTTCATTATAGAATGTAACATTTTAGAACATAAGGACTGAGGATAAGTATTGTTTGTCTCTGTTCTAAAAAAACATAAATATAAGAGTTTTAGGTTCCATTGTGGGTGAGGACAAAACAGTTTGAAATTCACTGCTTTCTAGGATAGGAGCACAACTGATGAACAAAAGAGGAGGTTCATCTTCAGTCTTTCTACTAAAGGAGGTCAAAATGCTTTCAAAGTGACTGAGCCAATGTACACCCCCACCATCAATATATAACCATAGCTAACACACTCACTAATACTATCAGTCTTTTACCTATACAGCAGGTATATAATACTATTACATCATGTTTTTAACCTGTATATCTATGGTTACTAATTCAAGCATTTTCTTACCCATTTACCAAAC